TACAAACATTACAAACAATTATAAACAATTTTAAAACTTCTTAACTTGGTTGCTTTGGGAAATGTGTTGACCCAACAACCTTCTCTCTCTCTCTCTCTCTCTCTCTCTCTCTCTCTCTCTCTCTCTCTCTCACGCACACACACACACACACATCAATTTAAAGTTTGTTATATTTATGAGGAGTCTGTGTTCAATACTAGAGATCGAGATATTAATAGATAAAAACAGTATGGACATAGAAATCAATACTGCATGGTGACTGGCAGTTTAAATATCTCCAGACCATAATTAGGATTTTTTATGTAGGATTTAGCTGACAGATTCTTTTGTTTTCCTTATGGATCTCTTACACACACACACACACACACACACACACACACACACACACACACACACACATATATATATATATATATATATATATATATATATATATATATATATATTCTTCTTTTCGCTTCACGAACGAAGTGTCTGTCCACGTCGGCTGCAGGCACGCTGAGAGCCGACTAGGCCGTTGCGGACAGGCAATTCCGGCCGCAGCGAATGCAATTAAATGTTTGGTCTGGTATAGCTGCTGAGGCTTCCCAGTCCTTCCTCCCGCGGCGTTTCTCTTTCAAGTTGCCCCTGCGATAGGCCTCAAAGGTGCATTGCGGCATCAGGCTTGACGGTCAGCAGAAAGTTTCGACCACTGGCAATAGTCAATGTGACAGGTACCGAGGGACTTCTTGAGGAAGGCCTTATAACGTTTCCTTGGTGCCCTCGTGTCACCGTGTCTAGGGCTGTCTTGGGCAGGCGATAATCCCCCATTCTGGAGACGTGCCCTGCCCAGCACAGCTGTGACTTCAGCAACATGGCTTCAATACTGGTAATTTTCACCTGTTCGAGGAGCTCAACATTGGTGATGTAGTCACTCTAGTGAATGTTGAGGATGGTACGGAGACAGCGCTGATTAAAGGAATCAAGGAGTCGTAGGTGGTGGCGATACGTTACCCATGACTCAGAGCCGTACAGCAGGTTGGTGAGTACGACGGCTCTATAGACGCTAGTCTTGGTACCCCTCCACTGTTCCAGATTCTTCTGTAGTCTGCCAAAAGCGCTGTTTGCCTTGGCCAGTCTACTTCCCTGTCAAACACACACATACACACACACACACACACACTATATATATATATATATATATATATATATATATATATATATATATTGTCATCCGCAGACAGACTGTTTCGCAGTGTGTCTAGACATCCGGTTGCCTCTAGCTAGGATTGAAACCGGGCTGAATTGGCATCAGTCGGAGATTCTACCACGGCAGGGACGAAAGTGAATTTTAGCGTATTTATTTTAGATAAACACACAGTAACTGAGAGGACTCGATTTGCTTAACCGAAGAGTCTTGCTATAATAGCCATAATAGTCACTGTTTATAAACCCACACTTCCACCCCCAGAGAGCTCAACCGAAATAATTTTTCAAGAGCCTATACCATACTATATATATATATATATATATATATATATATATATAGATATGATAGATAATAGATAGATAGATATTAGATGATACAAATGCACATTCTGAACTGAATTGAAAGTTAAGGTTAGAAATATTTTAGGGATTCAAATGACGTCCTCAGCATCCTTCTGTAGGTCCACATTTCTGTTGCTTCAAGTTTTCTCTTCATCTTTGAGGAGATCGTCCAGCATCGCTGCTATATAAGATGACAGATATCACGTAACACTTCAGTGCTCTTTTATTTGTTTCTCACGAAGTTTTTCTGTCTCTTAATACTTTGCTTAACTTTTAGAATGCATCTTTGGATATCCCAATGCGCCTTCGGATTTCAGTGCCACTTTTTTCCGTACTGTGTTAAAACACTTCCCAGATAATAAAATTTTTGTACTTGTTTGACTTTCTTATCTCCAATTTGTTATATGTATGTGTATTTCTAAATGGATTTAATGGATCCATTTCAAACTTCCTGCGTTTATATTTAGGTTATGAAAAGGATTCTGGTAGATATAGAATCGGAAAAGTCCCAACGGGATATGTGCTTTTCTTAAGTATGTAATTGCGCCTTGCTTTATTGTGGTTGTCTCCCTTGGCTACCTTGGTAACGGCCCTCATCAGCTATAATAATGGTTTCACTGACGGAAAAAAAACTGATGCTTGATATTAATTTTAATTTTTAGGAAAATAAAAAAAAAACTTTAAAAATAACTGATGTTAACCTGCAGACAGTAATAATAACGTAATAGTAATAATAATAATAATATATATATATATATATATATGTGTGTGTGTGTGTGTGTGTGTAGTGTGTGTGTGTGTGTTGTCTGTCTGTGTGTGTTTGTGTGTGTGTGTATGTGTGTATGCATGTATGTATGTATGGGTGTGCCCGTTTCTGTGCGTGTAAAATTCCAGATATAACTGA